AATAATGTGAAAAATAAGTCCAACTCCATTTAATTGATTTGTCTCCCCAAGTCAATTTTTCTTTGCTTCACATGCACCTATGTGACTCCCCTTGCTCTTTGCAAGGCTAGAAAATGTGGGTTGGCCCCCACCCATGTGGGAGGTCATCCTAATATGTCTCAAAGTGTATACTTGGTCCCCGAAAGTTGTATTTTCTGGACAGTTTTAATTATATCTTATTTTATGGGGTCAATATAGCACTTCGGTCGCCCAAACATTTTTACCAACTCGGTTGGACCACGTAGGAATGGCCCATTAACCCCTAGGGATCATTGAACGAACGTCCCTAAAGGCCCCTAACAGCTTGGGAACAAATACCCTCAGAGTGGTCAAAGGCAGTGACGATGTTCGTCCCCTTCACTGAAATGGCAGTAGGTGGTGACGACTTACTTCGCGTTCTACTTCTGGGGACGTACGTCTCCAATCAGGCCAGCAAGGCCAAATCGCAAGACGAACGTCTCCAAGGGCTTGGGCAGCTGGAGACGCCTTCCCCTTACCTCCCGGGACGTACGTCTCCAACATGCCAGCAAGGCCCATTGCGAGACGAATGTCTTCAAGGACGAGGATGCTTCCCCTGCTTCAGGGGACGTACGTCTCCAACCGGCCACAAGACCCAATTGCGAGGCGAACGTCTTTAAGGACGAGGATGCTTTCCCTTGCTTCCGGGGACGTACGTCTCCAACCGGCCACAAGGCCCAATTGCGAGACGAACGTCTTCAAGTATTCGGGATGCTTTCCCCCCTACATAAGGGAACGTACGTCTCCAATAGGCCAGCAAGGCCCAACTGAAAGACGTATGTACGGAACCTGGATCTTGGGAGCAAGCAGTACATAGGAGAATATTGTGGGAACGGTCACCCCCACCACTTTGCGGGATATTCAAATACATACTGCATTTTAAATTCAAGTACATCCGGGTGCGGTGTCACAAAAGGTGTTTAACAATACCTGGAGAGAGCACTAGGTGTGATGCAGAAGATGATGCAGTTGAGTGGGATCGAACAACTCATTAAGCGCCCTGAGACTCGCCATATCAAGAACTGTGAGAAGCGGGTATTGGCTAAGAAACTCCTCCAACGCAAGCTCGAGTCTCAAGAACTTGCTCGCAAGCTCAAATCTATCCTTGTCAAGAGAATCAAGTACTTCTAGCCTAAAATTTCTTAGGGATTATTTCAATTGAAATAAAAGTTTAGCCTAAGCTTCTATTGAATGGTCACGAATGCAACTAGTATTATGATTCGAAAGACAACCCAAGTTGGTACTTAGATTCTAACAAAAAAGAGGGACATATGATGCATTAGCATTCTAAAGTGAAGAATATGAAATATTCTCCATACAATCCAGGTTCATAATCAAATGATCTCAAGTTAAGAATGTTGTTGATGATGCAATGGAGTTCAAATCTGCTCTGATAAGCTACACAAGTCATCATAAGAGGAACTTTAGATGAGTAAGGAACTGACCCATGAGAGTTCAAGAAACATGTTCTTTGAATTTCCCATTCAAATGCATTGACCCATTTTAAAATATGTTTGATTTAATATGATATATTTCGTATATAATGAAAAAAGTAGTTAGAAGTTTTATCAATCAAGTACTTGAAAAATAAATGGACTATAAATCGATAATATGAAAGATGAAATGTGTCATTATAAGTCTGAAATAATTTAAAAAAAAAACTATGGATGCAAAACCTAAAAGATCAATCAATAACTTGAAAGATGAAAAGTGTCATTATATAGGCCTGCCTAATCCCTTCAATAAAATTACATATCTTAAGTCCTCATTTCTTTTATATTTGTTTTTCCCTAAAGGCCTTAGCCTTTGTTTTGGTGTTTTGGTAAATTGGTGATTGTTCGGTCAGAGTTTTGGTGTTCTTTCATTTAGTGTGTCTATAGATGCTATCCGAACAAGATTAGTGACGAGGGCTGTGAATCATTCATGTCCATCTTACAAATACCCATGTGAGGATATCAAGTCACAGCAACAGAGGCGGATGGCTATGAAGACATGAAGCCTATACCGTACAGCCGGTGACATTTTGGTAATATACATGAAATCCACGTCTTTTTCTAAATGAACACTGATGCAATTTTAGTGAGTATCAGACATATTATGTTGAATATTAGAAGTCTAACAATGAACATCGTGATTTTTGTTTCATATCCTCTAATTCACATACTTTTTTCTACCTTTCTTTTATAAAACCTTATGAATTGTATATATAATTAACTCCTATGGATTTCAATATGTGAATCAAATATAATATTGTACTTTTGAGATATGGATTGATTTGACTTTTAAAGATGAACATAACAAGGGTACCGGTTGAGCATACATAACTTACAAAATGAGGCTTGATGTGAAAATCATAAATTTTTTTGTTGAACTTCAAGACATTGTCATTAAGCATCAAACGTCCTTTATTCAGTATTAGAAACATGTAATTGAGTATCATGGTTTGTGCTCGCGTATATATAATCAATTCCCATGTGAATCTAATGTCATGGTACTTTTGAAAATATGCATTGATATATAATCAATACCGGATGCGCATACATAACTTATAAAATAAGTATTAAAAAATTCAAAAGCTCATTTGAATTCTCTAATGTATTCAAATATTCTATTATGTATGCTCATTTTTTAATCGTTATACTCATTCGAATATAACATAAACTCCTTTTTATATTATGTACATCTAGTAGTTTCGTTATTAACAACTGTGTATGCACATTTATTTTACACTATAGTGATTTTAGTAAAGAAAGAATGACACAATTATGACCTACACACTTTGGGAGACAAAAATATCGCTACTTTAAAAATTGACAAAAATATGACCTAACTTTTTTCTTAGCAAGCAGCGCACACCTTCTCTCCTTCATCGAGAAATTGGCGTGAAGTTTCAGTCTTCTGCTTCATCTTCGTCGCAGAACCACCACTGGTGGCCTTCTGCTTCCGTCCTTGCCGCAGAACTACCACCGCCCAACATCCAACACTTTCATCGCCCTCCCCTCCCCTCCCCCGCAGCTTTCTATTTCTTATCTTTCTGTCCCGTCAATGGAGAGGTGGCTGGGAATCGAACTGCCGCCATCTTCATCCATGGAAGCTTGGTCTCGGATGGTGTGATAATAGATGGTCTAGTCGTCGTTGATGCTTGGCAGCGGCTTTAATTTCCACATCTGCACTCGGCGATGGCGGCGACAATGTGGCAGGGGAGCGACACTGGTGCGGCGGTCGAATTAGGGAGGGGGCTAGGGTTGGAAGGTGGGCTGAAGGGGTGGTTGGCCGCTGGGAAGGATGCTGGGGATAGGGGCTGTAGCAGGGCATGGAAGGGGGTTGTGGCTAGGGCTAGGGGGTGCGCAGTGGGGTCACTCAGGGTTGGGGAGGGGCTTGTGGGATCACTGTTTATGGCGGCGGCAATTTCCGGTTGGTACTGGACAACGGGGGGTGAAGGGGTGGGGTTGTAGATGGCCTGGTGTGTAGGCGGTAGGGTACCTGCGATGGTGGGGAGTGGTGGTGGCCGGCGGTGGAAGGTCTGACAGTGACTATAGTGACACGTCGACGATGGCTAAGGTGACACGGACGATGGCTACAGTGACACGGACGATGGCTACAGTGACATGGGCGGTGGCTACAGTAACATTAAAATTGTACAACGACTTTAAAATCTGGCAATGACATTAATATGACCTTCTTAGTCACATTTTTGTCCTAATATTAATGTGGTCACATTTTTGGAAATTGTGTTTACTTTAGTAATATTTAGGTAAAAACTCCTTTAGTAAAAACTCCTTTAGTAAAACATAAAACTCATGTTAGTAATTAACACAAAATATTTAATAAACTAATAAATATTCATCTTAAAATTAAAAATAGAAAAATAAAAAATTAATACCTAGAATATTTTATATTGCACAAATTGAAAAAACTTAAGTTAGAAGGTTGAGTGGAAAAAGAAAAAACAAACAAACTCCAACAATAAATAATACTTCCTCTGCCCCCTAATATTGAGAAGGAAGAGAGTGGTGTGGTTTTTAAGAAAAGAAGAATTATGTGATTGATAATGAGTTGATAAAGTGAGAATGATTTAGAGCCACACAAATGTTACCAAATATGGTATGAGACAATAATAGAGAGACATAAAAATGAAAAAAGTGGGACAATTATAGGGGGATAGATGGAGTATTTTATATTATTCGATTTCATAGTAATTGAACAAAAAACTAGAGCAAGAAGGTTGTTAAATAAAAAATATAGCAAAAGAAACAAAGAGAACAACAACTCACAAGCAAAAGTAACTTACTAACAAACAAAACGAAAAAGAAAAGAAAATGGAGAATTCCCTAAATATAAGTAAAAAAATTTTGAAATTCAAAAATAGGAGTATCACTTTTTTATTCATTGAATATGAGTGAATTTCTGTCAAGTTTGACATTATTAGGCTTTAAAACATGACATTTTTTCCAAACTTGGCAGATTACTCATATTCGGGGGATAAAAACACATGATACTCCTATTTTAGAATTTCAAAACGTTTTTGCTCCTACTTAGAGCAATTTCTAAATAGGGTAAGGAGTAGCGGAAAACAAAGGAGAAGAGTAAGGAACACCTTAATAATCGGATCGTAACTTGGAACTAATTATAGAAATGCCGGATGTACCATACCCCTGTTCTTCGATACTTGTCTCCCTTTCTATTTTGGGATATTCTCCAATACATGTCTCCCTTTCCATTTATAGAAAGTTTTTTCAATAAATATATCCATATACTCTCATTCTCTTTCTTACTTTTTCGTATTCTTTCCTACTTTTACAGTTTTTCATTTAAACACAATTCAGAATTCACTACACCTTTTAACTTATCCTTATTAATTTCTTCTTAATACTTGTGCCAAAGGCTATAAATCATCTATTGGAGAATAGAGGGAGTATAATTTAACGTGAGGGCATTGGGCTTCAGCTCAGCCCAACCCATTTTATTTTAAGTAGTATAGGTATAAGTTTAATTATCAGCTCACTCCAAAGTTAATTCCCACCCCACATCAAAACGAAGAAGCGGAAGATTGGGAAGAACGAACTCACGAGCCTGGACCCTGCGAGGAAGACGCGACAAACAGGAAGAACCGCAGACCGCCAGCTGTGCCGCCGTTCTCCGTCCACTACGGCTCTCCGCTCTCTGCCTCCCGAACCCGGTTCTGCCTGGCCGCCTGGGTTCTCTCTCCAGCTCCGCTGCTCCAGCCTCCAGGTATGCTCTAACTCTAATATATTTTTTAGATTTTTAATCTATTATTTTGTGACTATGTGTTGTTGTGTATTATTATCTTTAAGTTTAGAGAATCAATTTGATTATTAATTGAATTTTTCAGTGCATAATAAAATAGTTTTTAATTCATTATAAATTTATAATGATTAATGATAGAATTAAAGATTATAGAATGATTTATTGATTATACAATTGAATATTAGAGAATGATTTACTACGTATTCATCATTTTATTTTGTGGTTATGTAAGGAAAAATTGAAAATTTGAATTTAGTTTTGAAATTGGTAACACTTATTAAGTTTATGTACAATGACTGTTTTTTCTTATTTGTTTCATAATTTTATAGAAGTATTTTAATTCATATCAATATTGAAAATGTTTTTTAGAATGGATAATGAATATATTGCCAAGAAAGAAAAGAAGTTGATTTCGTCAATTTAGTGAATCTTCAAAGTGGTTAAGAGAGTTGTGAACCTATACCCATGAGGCCATGATGGTGAAGATGGCACTTCGCTACAAAATCGGAGATGAATTTCTTGAAGATTCATTGATGAATTACATTGAGCGAGATTTTGTCAATAATATAGATGTAGATTCTATTATTGATGAATTATATACTTTTAAGTCGCGTATGACACAACTTAAATGATATTTTGATGAATATTTAAAGTGTTGATGATTCACATTATTATGTACTCCGTATGCGTTTTCAAATTTTATTTTTTAGCCCACCCCATTGTAAGTTTCTGGATCAGCCCTTGCATATCACTCATGTATGAGTGATCGAATCAAAATCTAATTCTAGAATTTATATTCAAATGGTAATTTCTAGTCTTGTTGACTTTCTCCTGCTTTTTAATATTGATGTAACTTCATCTAGCATTTTAATACTCCGTATAAATCATTTATCATTTTCATCATTTTCATTTACCCCAGTGCCTCAAAGGCTCCCACCTACGGTGAGGTAAGGGGGTCGGATGTACGGAGTTTTACCCCTGTACTAAATCACAGAGAGACTTTTTCCGGATGACCCATAGTGAAAATCGCGTCCAAAATTGCATGGATTGACTGCTGCTCCATAACAAAAAATAATGGATCTTTGGCTCCATTGCAAATGATGGAAAAAGTATAAGCCATTTATATTTAAACAAAATCACTTTTTATCTATCATGCTTATTTTAGCTATACAAGTTATTTGAGCTTTTGAGGTTTATATTATGCACATTGATATTAGGTCAAAAGGCCACCACTGAAAAAAGAAAAACAATTGCCGCTGACTAGATGAACTCCTTGGGGAGCAGATTGTCTTCCATCTTCAATCGCACGAATGCATCTCTGAACCCAGTGAGTTGGGAGCTCCAACAATACCGTGGGATCCGAGTGAAGGTGTTTAACAATAACCTGGAGAGAGCACTGGGTGTGATGCAGAGGATGATGCAGTCGAGTGGGATCGAACGACTCATTAAGCGCCCTGAGACTCGCCATATCAAGAACTGCGAGAAGCGGGTATTGGCTAAGAAACTTCTCCAGCGCAAGCTCCAGTCTCAAGAACTTGCTCGCAAGCTCAAATCTATCCTTGTCAAGAGAATCAGGTACTTCCAGCCTAAAATTTGTTAAGGATTATTTTAATTGAAATAAAAGTTTAGCCTAAGCTTCTATTGAATGGTCATGAATTAATATTTCCTATAGCGACATTTGGTGTATGTGTATGTGGACATCCAATCTAACTGTCATTTGAGATTGAGCGAGGCAAATATCTACTGCACTAGAAACACCATCAGTGTAATGCTGAAATAATGTCCCACTAGACAAGATTACAAGTCTGTTATATTGATTACTGTCCCATCTTCGGTAATTTGCTCGACAATGAGTTTCGTTGTGGTTGAAGATGTGGAAGTTATGGAATGCTGAAAATAAAATATTGGAACCATTTCTTGATGATTCTGGATCTCAAAGGTATGTTCGTATGGGGGTTGGGGACCCTCGGATGAGTCATAAGTTTCTTCATCAGCACTAAAACTTTTTTAATCATCCTATTACAATTGATTTAGTAACTGACCTGCAGACTAAAGTTATTTAGTTAAGCATCTTCAGTTGCATAAAAAGTACACTAAAATTTAGTTTTTTTCCAACCCATAGAAGAATAATGCTTGCTTCAATGACTTTTTTTTGTATAAATGCTGGGTTACTTGATTATTTTTGGACCCTTATTGTTGAAACGAAATATAAACAAGAATTTGAGAATCTGGACAGAGGAAAATAAACAAATACTACCAAGCTAATTATTTGTTTCCATCCTATGTCCTAGAGCACGTGTATGATGAACAATCTCCTCTCTTAAGTAGACAAAGGAGGCTACAGTCATCCGTACATACATAATTATCCGTTTCATAAAAATCTATCCATAACAACTAACAGCAAAGAGTTCACAAGCGTGGAAGTGGATGCAACTAGGGATGGATTCGGGCCGGGCCGGGCCCGGTCGGGCCGCCGGTTCAAGAATAGTGGGCCCGGGACCGGCCCGAGGGTTGGACGGGTCCGGTTCGGGCCACCCGCCCGGGTCACGGGTCGGGTCCGGTTCGGGCCGGGCCGGGTATTTTTTTTTATAATTTATATTTTATAGTTTATAGTTTTATACGAGTATTAAAAACAAACTTCAATTGCATTTATTTGAAATGAAATAGGAACTACATTTGAAAATTAAAACAAACTTTAACAGATAAACATTTTGAAAATTGTAATCAATCGGAACTTCCCGCACCTCCCGATCCTTTGGCTTTCTCACATGACTTCATATGCTTGATTGCCATCCCGAATCCGCCTGAAGCCCCCATGTTACATTTTTTCTCGCACCTTCTGCAAATTGCGTACCACATCCCGGTCTTCGGGTCCTTCTGCTTATCAAAATTATACCGTATAATGGCATCTTGATTTTCCATCTTAACTTCTTAAGTATAAACTATAAAGTAGATATATAAATAATAAATATAATATATTGTAGAATAAGAGAATTAGAGAGTAGAGAGTTAAGAATAGGATTTAGGAAGAATTGGAGAAGAGATATGAAAAAATGTTTAAGATTAGGAGTATTTATAGGTTTTTTTACCCCCCACCCCCCCACCCCCCACCACCCAACCCCCCCGGACCCCCCCTTTACCCCACCCAACGGCTATATAGCCGTTTGGGTTGTCCCCAGCCCCACCCTCAACGGCTAGTAGGAGCCCAAACCATTTTTTTTTTTAAATAGAACCGGACCCGGGGCCGGGTCACAATAATGCTGAACCGAGCCCGCCCCGCCCCTTCCCACCGGTTCGGGCCCATACCCGGTCCCGGACCGCCCGACCGGGCCGGTCCCGGGCCCGCACAGTACCGGGCCGGGTGGCTCGAACCGAATCCTTCCCTAGATGCAACTAGAGGGCAAAAGGTTAATTCCCAATAGGATCTGAAGTAGTTTTGCTGGGGACTACATTGGCTCTCCTGTGTTTTAAAGTATAACAGAAATCATGATATTGTCACATGAAATCACTCGGTTGAATTGGTGAGGCTTTAAAATAATTCATTGACTCATTCCATTGCTAGATTAGTGTAGGCATGTGGAAGCCACCAGACCAAATAATTCTTTAATGCATATTGCTGATTGAAATGTATGTGTTTTTAAATTTTTAATGCTGCTAACACAACAGACTTGTGGTAAAGGGTGTGGGATATTCAAGCCTTAATGGCATGTTCAGAAGGATGTTTTTTTAGGGGAAGACTTTGGAGGGATTGTCCATACCTCAATGCGATTGAAATGTTATACAATCACATATCATGTTAATCTTTCAATCCATTCAAAATCTCCAATTCTTTTCCATTGTACAAAACAAAATCTTCAATGAAACCCTCAAAGAAACCCTCAAGGTGTTAAATGAACCCCATGCAAGGCTTTCCCCTCCAAACCACAAAAATTTCCACCCAAACAGACCCTAAAAAGTGTTTGAAAAAACCCCATGGACTTGGAACTAAAAGTATAAAGCCCTCCACCCAAACAGACCATTTAGGGCCAAAATCACTCATTTCCCTAAATAATTTTTTTCTGTAGTGACACACTGATTTCTTTGCCTGCAGGGGTCTATAAGAGGAATAAAAAGGATCTTATCTACATTGGTGATGGCAGTCAATCGCTATTTTGAGTGTGGTTTCTCTATACTTGAAATTTTATAATGTAGAACAGTGGTGGAAAGCAAAGCCCGTCATTAGGTCTTATTATATCCTCGTAAAACATGGATGAAGAGGCTGCATTCTAGCTTTATACTTCGTATTATGACTAAATAAATGCAAAAGGTACTTGGATGGATTTGAAGACATACATTTACAAGTATTTCATGAATTTTAAGTATGCCCAGTCTGTCTTGATAATTACCATTTAGGAGTGCTATTGGTTATTGAGCATAAATCTTTGCAGCAACAAACCTAATACTTCCTTTGTCCCATTTAAAGTTTCTCTTCCACTATTCTCCGATCAACGTGAATTGTTATTAATCTTTTACTTTATATATCCAACTTTTATCAATTTTAATTTTTCTTGATCAGGTATTATTAAACTTTTAATGTAGCTTCTGAATATGTAAATTTTATTTACAAAAAATAATCTTGTTAATGACATTGATCAATTAACTTTATGGTCAGTTAAACAACGGGCGTGGGAACCTTAAGTGTGACGGAGGAAGTACGAAGTATATATTTTAAGACTATTATTAACTATGTTTTTATAAATACCAAATACTATTTTCCGGCTATTATTAACTGGTAAGATGCTAAAATGGATTTGAAATGCAGAAAATAACTACTCCGTATGTTTTAACAACACAAAAGGAATACAAAATAACTAACCTTCATTCAATTAATTTAAATATTCTCTCCTTATAATTTATATTTAATCTCTGCCCCAGCCTACCCCAACTCAGTTGCGGCCGGAAAAGACATTGGAGAATTTAAGGAACTATTTAACATTTTCAGTATTTCTTTATTTGTCGTGAAAATAGTTTCAAACGGTCATAAATTAAACTAATATAGGACTAGGGATGGACTCGGGTCCGGTTCGGGCCTAGGCCCGGGCGGGCTGACGGTTCAAGAATGGTGGAACCGGGACCGGCCCGGGTAGCCACCGGGTCCGGTCCGGATCTGGGCTGGGCCGGGCCTCCGGTTTGAATTTTTTTTTTTTGCTTTCCTAACCCCCCCCCCCCCCTCACTCCCACCCTCCCAAACCCCCCCAAACCCATCCTACCCATCAAGCCCAACCCGGATGGAACCCCAAAAATGAATAAAAAATAAAAAAAATTCAATTTGGCCCGTGGCCGGTTCACCAAATTTGAGACCCGAGCCCGGACCCGCCCTACCCCCCGGGGCTAGGCCCGACCCGGACCCGGACTCGAGAACCGGGCCGGTCCCGGTCCCGCACAGTAGCAGGCCGGACCGGTCCACGGGCCGGATGACCCGACCCGAGTCCAACCATAGTCATAATGACATGTTTTAAAGCGACGGTGACATTTGTTGTAATTGTTAGTGACATACTCCCCCCGTTTCTTAAAACTTTGTCAAGTTTGACTGACACGAAGAAAACTAAAGATGAAAAAAAGATAGACAAAATTTTTAAGTGATGGAGGGAGTAATAAATTGACAATGATAAAAAAATTGTAAGTGTCATCACGTTTTTCTAAATTTATTACCTTGTTAGTTACTACCTCCAAACAAAACAACTTCACACTTTCCATTTTTAGCAGGTCCAAATTCATCTTCACACTTTCGTTTTTAGGAAAGTTTTTAAAGTGAAATGTCTATACTAACCTTATGCCATTTACCCTATCTCCCCACCCCTTACCCCCATTTCATTCGCACACAACCCCTTCCGTTCCATTCTCTCTGTCTTTCTCTCGAACCTTCCCTCTCTCCTCTTTGTCTCTGTGTCTTCCATTGCCTCCACCGCCTGCAACCTCTTTCTCCCATCTCCACCGTCACCCGTCGTTCTAATAACCCCCTCATTGTCACTCGTCATTCTACTAACTTCCACTATCACAGTCCCTTCTACAAACCTCCATTCAAAATGGATCGGAAACCATCGCCCCATAAAAAACCCTAAGCCGTCGATCCTCCTTCATAAATCGACAGATCCTACTCATGTTGAACCCTCAGAAGTTGAAGCTTCACATGCAACTGCAAACCACGATGAACTTCCCTTTAGAATGTTCATAGTTCGTTTTGGTTGCTCATCTGAGACTGATCTGAACTGAACTGGCGATTGCGTAAGAAATACCAATCTAATTTGGTGTCAGATACCTATGAAGGTTTGGACGGGCTGGATTCAGAAGATGCTGAGGAAGTGAACTCGAGCCTGACATCGGATGAAGGAGAAGAGAGCGACGGCGGCGGTGGGGAAGACGACTGCAATGAATGGTCTCCTTAAGGACAGTAACGTTCTCAACCTTTTCTCGTTCTGTCTGTAATGTTGTCTAGGCTTTGCATTTTTGTGAGAGGCCGATTTGGATTATTGTGTGACTAATGATGATTTTAGAGTTGTGAATTTATGATATGTGGATCACATGTGTGTTACACAGACTGATTCACCTATGATGCGTGTTTGCCTATTCAGAGATATGTTTGTGAATGCTATTTGAGGTCTTTGAATCTCATTGCCCCTTTTTGCTTTATTAATGTCATGTATGGATGTTTAACAATTCTGAGGTATGTATGCCTGAGATGTGTAACCCGTGATCATGATTAATTGTGTTTGTCTATGCTCATATACTTGTGGTGAACCTGTGATTAATCTGAGGTGTATTAACCTAGGATTTGTAACCTGTGATCAGATTATGTTGGTTTGCCTATGGTGAGTTACATGTGATGACTGTGTGATAAAATATGAGGTGTGTTAGCCCATGATATGTAACCTGTGATCATGATTATGAGTGTTTGCCTATGTTATGAGTCACATGTGATTAAGTTTGATTAATGTGAGGTGTGGTAGCCTAGGATTTGTAACATGTGATCATGTTTATGTTGGTTTGCCTATGCTGATTAACCTATGATGACATTGATGCTTGTGAAGTGTGGTTTGCCTATGCTAAGTGAACTGTGAGCATGATGAGTTGTGTTTGCCTATGCTCATATACTTGTGATGACTCTCTGATTAATGTGAGGTGTGTTAGCGTAGGATATGTAATCTGTGATCATGATTATGAGTGTTTGCCTATGATATGAGTCACATGTGATGAAGTTCTCATTATTCTGAGGTGTGCCTGCCTAGGATGTTAACTTACGATCATGATTATGTTGGTTTGCCTATGCTACTTCATCTGTGATCATGATAATGTGTGTTTGCCTATTCTTAGTCACCTATGATGACTCTGTCATGATCATGTGTTGTGCGGGTACACCATCCAAATATTCTTCTTCAAAGGGGGTCCACATTAAAATCTAAATGATCAGTTTCTTGGACAACATCATTTATGGAAGAAAGACTCCATAAATAAAGAGTTTTAAGAAAGTGGAAGAAGATTTCTAATTTTAGAAGTAATTGTGCATATTTTAGAAAGTGGAAGAAGATTGCTCCAGTATTTATAGCTAAAAACAGTTGTGTATGACCTAAAGTTGATTTTTTTGAAGGAAGCCAAAAAGGGAAATCTTCCCTCCTTTATGGTCGGCCGAATACTCCTCTCTGGCAAATTATACCGTACGACCGGTGTACGGTGAGCACCTTATACCGGTATACAGATTTATATTTGTTTTCCTTTTATTTTTAAAAAATGGTAATAACTTTTTTATTTTTGATTCGATTTTTAAAAAATTTATATCAACATTTTTTATTTTTCATGATCTTTCAAATGAGACCAATATTGCTTATGCAATTTCAAGAAATTATCGAACTATTATATTAATGAGTATTGGATTATAAGGAAAATCGAACTAAATTTAATACAGAAAAATAATTGTGTAAATCACAATTTATCTTAAAATTGTGTATATAAAAAATTTATTGTATTTGGTATTTATTCATGTGAGTTACATATTTTTATATGTGAAGTTACATATTTTTACACGTAAAGTTACATATTTCTACACGTGAGTTACATATATATACACACGAGTTGCATTTGACCTGTCTAAACGCGAGTTACATATATTTACACGTCAAGTTACATATTTTTATACTTAAAGTTACATATTTATACACACAAGTTGCATTTGACCTGTCTGAACGTGAGTTACATATTTTTTTTACGTAAAGTTACATATTTTTACACGTAGAGTTACATATTTATACACATGACTTGCATTTGGCCTGACTGAACGTGAGTTACATATTTTAACACGTAAAGTTACATATTTTTACACGCAAATGTTAATATGTTAAAATTACATAGGCAATATTGGTCTCATTTGAAAGATCATGAAAAATAAAAATTTTTGATATAAATTTTATAAAAATCGGATCAAAAATAAAAAAATTATTAACATTTTTAAGAAAGGAGAAATAAAAAATAACAAAGCTAAATGCACTTAGATTGTTCGCGAGCTTCTCTTTCCTTGCAAATTGGGATGGTATACCATGCGCACCATGGGAGGGTTGCATGGTTGCATGCTATACGAACTGCTCCTCTCTCTCCTCCCTTTATGTTAGTCACTATTTTGCTTTATCAATTAGACTTCTTGATTTTTTCTTTGATTAGATGGGGGTAAATTTTCTTGGGGCATATTGGTAAAAGAAGTTGTTTTAGGACGACAGAGAATATATTTTTATCCATATGTAAATAAAAAATAATGAAGCCCTTTAGGCTTATCGCAACCGGGAGGTGAAAAAACCATATTTGAACTTTTCACCCCCCAAAAACTTCTCCAACTCATTGTATAAGGAGGTCTCAAAGTGGATATATACATGGCTTCTCATGAGTGGGAATTAGTTTCTTGATTGACTCCGGTGTCTTGGACGCAGGAAACAAAAAGGACTGTTGCATTAAAGAAAAAGGATGAGTCTCCTGATGAATATAAATCTCAATTATTTTAAACTATCATAACTTTTTATTTGTATAAAAAATATATCAAAATTCATATCTTTTTATGATCTTTCATATGACGCCAATATTGGATATGTAAATATTAAAAAAATGAGAAGTTTCATCTGATGGAGATTTGTAGATCTAACATTTTCTCAAATCAATTCAAATGTTAAAATCAAGATTTCATTGTTAAAATATTTTTTTACATCTCTCAATTATTATTTTTCAAAAATAGATCTCATGGTTACAAATTTCACTCCAAATTTATTTATTTTTACATCGGAATGTTTGATATTTTAAATCATAATTATTTGCAAAAATAGAATTTGCGAAAAAAATATGTATAATAATAAAAGTAAGGATTTAACTAAAAAAGAATAGATTGAGTGAATATATTGACGGTGCTGGATTGCAGAGAAAAACTGAATTGATTGAGTGAATACGTATAAACTAGTGATAAATTAGATTTATTGACGAGCTGAGTTGCGGTTAGCCTTATGGA